GACAGGTAACAGGAGGCCCACTTGTCTGAACGGTTTTTTTCACATTTTTATTTGGGTGGGTAAAGTCCTAAAGTTGCTTTCATGACGTGCCCACATTGTTTACATTATTGGCCCCAAAAAGAAGGCTAAAAAGAACTTAAATACAATAAAGTTTGGAAAAGAGGATCTTATTTTCTATCAATAAAACCTCCAAATGATTTTTTTTTCCGGCCTTTTATAACACAAAAATAAGGGTGGTGAGATAGGTATAATTTTTTTATATTATTTTTTATATAATTTTATATATAAATAAATAAATATATTTAATATTATAAATTTTAAATAAAAAATTTAATTATTTAAATAACATATAAAATTATATAAAAAATAAAAAAAAATTATCTTTAAATTATTTTTTAAAAAAAAACAGGTGTATATACTTCATTTCTACCTCTAAAAAATTGACACATTTGAGACCTGACTTTCACAGATCAGAAGATCCATGGTTCATGATTTTGCAAACAAAATATACAATTAAGAATATACTAAAAAATATTTATTTTATTAGTTTTAAAATAAGATATTAATTTTTTATTTTTTATTTAAAACTGTTAATTTTTAATATTTCAGTTAAAATGTTTATTTATTAAATTAATATCACCATTTTATTAATTTTTTAATAAAATAGTTAGAAATTAATATATTTAAATAGAAAAACCTAAAACTTAGCAATTTTATTTAAAAATTAACGAGATTAACATTTTTAAATAAACAAATCAAAATTAATTCTTTATTTATTCTTTATTTATACATTTTCTATAATTTTACACGAAAAGTTTTCCACATATCCTACTCACATTCACATTGCTAGCTCTCCTTCCCTCAGAGCTTCAACCCCACTATACGGTAGTGGTTGGGGCCATGTATGAATTGTTCTTATAAGTTACAAACATTAAAGATGTGCCAGGTTGTAGAAACCCCACTACCAGCTCCATGCCAATACCGACCACCAGAAACATGATGAAATGAATTTAGTTTCATGAAAATTTAAAAATTATTGGTCAAAAAAAGTGACATAGTAGAGATTTTTTTTGAAATGTAGAGACTAAGATTTGAAATTTAGACAGTAACTTTACCATTGGTTGATGATTAATTAGTGACATAATAAAGATTTAATAAGTGCTAGCTCAATTTGAATTCCAGTTCATGATTCATCATTCATGGTTGACATAATTGCAGGGTGAACTGTAAAGATTGTTTTTAATTATTCAAATTGGGGATCAAACAAATCAGATGATTATTTTAATTGTAGGACCTAATAAAGAGACGGTGATTTTGTACTGATTTTTCAGATCTAGTAGTATTAGCCACGTTGAAAAGAGGTGCACTCTCCTCTCCCTTTGCACTTGAGTTCGATCCGTCCCTTGTAAACATGTTAAAAAAAAAAAAGAATGACTTTGATTGCACATGAACAAAGCACTCAAAATTATTATTAGTTATCATAATCGAGATTGATGCATTAAATATCCATTTAATCAAGACTGCAGATTCGTTATCTGAATTCAAAAATCAATTACTCTTTCAAGGCTTTTTATATTGTCATAGTATCTTTCAAATTTATATAAATTAATAGTGTTAGCGTAATCGAGATTGATGCATTAAATACCCACTTAGTCAAGACTGTAGATTTGTTACCTGAATTCAAAAATTAACTACTCTTTCAAGGTTTTTTATATTGTCATTGTATCTCTCAAATTTATATAAATTAACAGTGATGATTTTATATAATAAATAAATGAACATTTTAAAAAATATATATATAAGTAAAAATATTTAATAAATTAAAAATTGTGTATTAAAAAATAAAATTTTCATTTTTACTTATTTATTATATAAAATTTTCTTGTTAAAGTTTATATAAAAATTAAATTAAAACAACTAAATCAAATTGATGGAAGTAAAATATACTAATGTATGAGAATAGTATTTTTCAATTTAAATTATGTTAAGAACGTGTAAAGCATTTTGATTGAATCTTTTTTGGTATTTATGGTCACTAATTCAGCTTTTAGGTATTTTAGAATTAATTCTTTCTCATGTGATTTTAAGGGCACAACCCCATATATATCAGCTTGGTACATTTAAAAAATTTAATATTTTTAGGTGCTAACCCCCTCATTAATAAATCCAATTTTTGAGATTTTTAATTATTCTTATTTAATATAATACTTAAATACTTTTACAACCCACATTGCTTGCAGTTCAAACCATGAAAATCAATTATAAAAACCAATTATGAGTATATGTAGTGTAATATTGCAATGATAGGTAGAG